CCCCCCACCCTCTCTCCCCCGCTCCCGGGGCAGCTGCGCCGCCGGCTCCGCGAAGCCGCCGGGCAGTCCGTTCCCGGAGCGCTCAGAGTGTCATCTGAAGTCACTGCCGCCGTGCCAGCATTTCTGGAGCACGCCCGCTGCGCTCCATCTGTGTTTGTTTAGCCTCAGTTTACACAGAAGCCCAGTTCGCGAGATCAGTCAGCGCCGCCGCCCGGAGAGCAGGCAGCTCCCGCCGCCGCCGCCTCCCAGCCGGGCCGCCCGAGCCGCGAGCGCCTTTAAAGAAACAGGAAGCATTTTTCAAAACAGCTGGGCTACCGGCCGCCTCCTTTGTCCGCGTCCTCTCTACCTCCCTCCCGCCCCCACCCCTTCTGCCCAGAATCGGCCTTCTCTGGCTCTCACTCCTCGCCCCTCCTCCAATCGGGGGCGCTGCTCTTTTCCAGAAGACGGTCAGCCTTATAGAACTGCCCCAGCACGTGGCTTCTGGGCCCTTGGGCCCTTCGGCCCTTCCTCAAATCACTGCTGGACCTACTCTACCCAGCCTTGCTGACCTCTCGGGGCCGAGGTATCGACCTTCCGCACACAGTACTTCCCGGTTCACCCCTCCACCCTAACACTAACCAATCGAGATAAAAAGGGAGCAGCAACTTTTGAAGCGGGGGTCGATGGGGGAAGGGAAAGGCTCTGGAGTCTCCCTGAGATCTGCATTCCCACAGCACTGCAACCCTATCCATTCTACCACTTGCTGGAGCAATAAGGCCAAGAGCAGAAGGCCTAAGCGATGGGGAAACTGAGGCTGTGAAAAGGAATGTGCTTTCCTATAGTCACATAGCTAGTCAAACAGGCCTTCAAAAGGTGGAGTAGGGTGCAAGCTTCCGATTTAGCCAGACCTAGCATCTGTGAGAATCTGAAGTCATCTCACCCCAGCCGCTGCTAAGCTCGGATTTACACATCTATGAAATGCAGAGAATATCAGTACCTAAGTCACTGCATTGCTGTGAGGAATTAAGTACCTGGCACATAGGAGGTACTAATCAAATGGTTGCTTTGGTAGTTATTATTAATATAACAGAGGCAGAATAGCTCTTAGAGGCAGATTTTCTGGGTTCAAACCCCAGCTATGCCACTTACAAACTGAGTGACCTTGGGCAAGTCATCGAACCTCCCTGTGCCTCCTTTTCCTCATCCGTGAACGGAGGTAATAAGGGTGTCTTCCTCTCAATATGCTTGTGAAGATTCATTGAACATATATGTGCAAACCACTTAGAACAGCGCCTGACACAAAGTGAGGACTTTGCAAGTGCCTGCTATTATTGGCAAGGGACAGATGTCCATTCCCCAGACCCTCTGTCCTCTGTGCAATTCCACTGGAGATTCTGGAAAGAAGAGGGTCAAACTAGTGAGCCCTCATCTGAGAGCCACGTCCCAAGGCTGCCCTGAAGGACCAGCACAGGGCTTCACTCCTCACAGGTCCCTTCGGTGACAGTTTCTCCTTAAGGCAGTGGTGGATGCTAAAAGCAGTTTGGGAGGAGATAGACCCTTGACCTGGCCTTGAGCTCTGGCCTCTGCTGCCACTAGGATCTCCATCTTTCTGGTTTCAGTCCTCCACTCCTGCCCCTAGACCTGCCAGACCTGGTAGGGTTTTCTTGTGAAAATGCAGGGCTCACACACAGTCCAGAGTCCAAAAGAGAATGCCCTGGGGGTGGGGGTTGCCTGTGGCAAGCAGGGTCCCGAGAGGTTGGATGGGGTCTGGGCATAAGGTCCCAGGGGCAGGAACACAGAGCTGAGGCCGGGAGGCCGGGAGGCTGGGATGGGTCTTAGGTTTTCAACTATTGAGACCTATGACGCTAGCCAGGACATTTCATCCCACTGGGGTTCTGTATTGCCATCTGTCCTTGAGGATACTTCTGTCTAGCCAACCTCTCAGGGTAGCTGAGCAAGTAAAAAGAGACCATGGATATAAAAGGACTTTGACATCTTTGACATAAGTCTTCAGATATATGCTCACACATCCACATTCCCACAGGGACACACACATGGAGGCATGCAGTCTTCTAATTATAGTAAAAGCAAAACTTCATTTTTTTCCCACCGAGATGGGTCCCAGCCTCATAGTGTACATGCTCCTTGAACTCCCCCCTTCCCTGGACACCCAGTGTCATCCTGCACTTTATCTATGTCCTGAAAGCCAAGGGCGTGCCCCAGAGAGGAGCTCTCATTCTCCTGTTTCCCCACCTAGCCTACCACTACCCTAATGCACTGGCCTTTGCTCACAGGTTTCCCATGCCTCCCTTCTGCAGAGCACTCTCTTCCTCACCCTTTGATGACCAACTCCATTCTCCCCTCCTCTTGTAAGCCTTGGCTGATCATCACAGCCCCCTGTCGCCCTTGCTGGCCTCTGCACATGCTCACTCGCAAGTATTGCTGCCACTGCAGATCTGTCTGAGCTCCTGGGCTTGTGGGCTCCAGAAAGATTGCTGTTTCCTTCCTGTCTCCAAGAGTCGGTGCCCAGGAATCCTTTACCTAAGGACAACCAGCCCTCATGCCCTTTACATTCTCCAGATCCCAAGCAGAGGCTAAGACCCCAGCTTGCCCACTTCTCATGCATCCAGCCAATCAGTAGCAGAGATGGGGGAAAAGCCAACCCCCTTCTCCAGAGCTGCTAAGGTACTCTCTGCACCTCAGTGTTACCCTCTGGGGAATGGCAATCATAATAATGTGCCTCACGGGGCTGACATGAGGGTTAAGTGAGGCTGCCTATACAGTGTTTGGCAAGGGGCATAAAGTAGAGTGAATGGTAGCCTTCAGCACCGTGGGTTAGCACAGCCACCCAGGCTCCGTCCAGGGTCTGCCCCAAACTTGGGGTGCAGTTGCAGGCTAGCCCATGGCTACTTAGGGTTTATGGAAGTCTCTGGCAAGACTGAAATCGTCCCTAAAGAGGCCAGGCTGCACACCAGGAAAATCACGTCTTGGTTGCATATCATGGTCTCCACTCACTGATCTTGAGCCCCTCACCAACCCCCGCACCCCGCCCCAAATAGAGAAGCTCCCTGAGATCCCGTGGTGTGGAATGAGGGGAGGAGATTGGATAGGGAGGTGTGCTGTGCTGGGTCAAGGTAGAATGGGACACAGACCCAGCTCCTAGGACCACTCCTTCCCCGTCATCATACTGCCTCTCTTATTGGTCAAATCCTAGAGCCCCAGGGTTGGCATCAGGCAGGCCTAGGAGAGGTTTACCACTTACCAGTTGTGTGACCTTTAGCAGCCCCTTCACCTCTCTGAGCCTCAGCTCGTTATCTGGCATCATCCCCTTAGTCATAAGATGAAATGGCATATACAGGAACAGGAGGCAACCTATAAAGAGCTCAAGTGCTGTGAAGGGTCCCTGTTGCCATTTCCAGCCTGCCTGGTGGCAGACCTTCAAAATCTAGTCTACCTGCCCATGGCCCCCTAGCATCCTGTGACTTCCGCTACTGCCTTCCCTCAGCCTCCTTGAGAAGTGGGAAGAGAGCCCAGCCAGGCAGTGCCCCCTGGTGGTATGACACTGCCTGGCCTGCACACGACGTTGCTATCTCCCACAAGGAAATTCTTGCTGATTTTGGAGCCAAGGTGGTGGCCCTGCAATGACAGTAGTATGGATTTCGTGAATTCATAGTTGCCAGGATGAAAAGGCTCTTGAGGCTCCAGGTGGTCTCACCCTCTGCTTGGGATGGGACAATGCAGACACCCCAAGAAAACCTATGCCCTACATTAAAAACATCCCCCACTGAATCAACCAGCATGAAGGTGCCACTAGGAGGTTCCACATCCCCTGGACAGCTGGTCTAGGGAACAGGAAAGAAACTAAAAAGGGAAGAGAAGGCAAGAGCTTAGGGCTAGGCCACTGGGAATAAAATGCTAGAAAAACAGGCAGTAATAATGACTGCCACCCAGGGAGTGATTTCACAAAATCCTTATAACAACCCAAGGAGGTAAACCCATTCTACAGATAGGAAATGGAAGCTCCTAGAGTAAAGACCTTGCTAACAGAAAGGAAATAACAGATGTGAGATTTGAACTCAGGCCAACTGACCCAAAAATCCAAGTTTGAACCATGTGCTTCACTGCCTCCTGAGAACTCAGTGACTAGTATCTGGGGAGGTTAGTAACTGGTCCACCTGTAGGGCTGGCCTATTTGGCAGCCAGGCTGTGCCTGCATATGCTGCCAGCTTGCGTGAAATTATTGCTGTTCACCTCTCAGCTGAAGTGACTGGCCTCCACTGGACCAGCCCAGTTCCCCCCAGCTCTTTCCAGATCAGGGTTCAATGGCAGAAGCACCTCCTCTGGACGGTCAAGAATCTCAGGCATATGAACCCCAGATCTTAGTATCCAGCACTGGTGTCATCCCACAGGTGAGAACAGGACGGCTCTATGGGGTGGCATCCAGTGATTGTCATCTCCGTGGCCAGATGGGATGGAACCTTGGATACTTGTTCCATGAAGTTCTATATTCCTGAATCTAGAGTCTCTATTTCTGGATGTTCAGATTGTTCCAAAGTAGGTGTGTCACCCATTAGAGAAAGGGAAGAAGAATGGAAATTAGACTGCCAGAAGGAAACAGAGCACGTGTGATTGGTGCCCGCTGGAGTTGTAGTCACAGCAGCCCTGAACAGGACCACCCAGGGGAGTGAGCAGAAAGTAAAATACCATCAGCCTGGTGGCCGCCAAGTGACAGTGCCCGCACTGCCACCATTAGCCAGCAAGACTTTGGATCCAGAGGACAGCAATGAGGCATCCAGGCAGGAAACTCTTGCAGACTTACTCTCCAGTCTTCCCTTTACTTTTCTTTATCCACGTGACCATCCCTATTACGGAAAATCGAGAGAGTCTTTGGGGCTGGGACGGGAGCCAGATGAGGGCACTGCAGGAGGGAGATAAGGAGGCCTTCAGCACTGTCTCCCTGAGACCTGATAGGGTGCACCTTCTCAGCAGAGAGCACGTGCTCTGCTGCAATGGAGCAGGTTCCCCTGCAGAGGGCACGCCTAGAGGTTGCGGGGAGAGAAGGCACTCTACAAGCAACAGAAGCCTGGCATGATGGGCAGGCAGGTGCCAGGTTTCCACACAATTGGCCAGGTAGCCTGTTAAAACAGAGAACATACCATGTCATTCTTCTGCTCAAAACCTCCCAGTAGTCTATGGCCATGCCACACCGAACACGCCCGATCTCGTCTGATTTCGAAAGCTAAGCAGGGTCGGGCCTGGTTAGTACTTGGATGGGAGACCACCTAGGAAGATCAGGTGCTGTAGGCGTAAAGAAAAAAAAGACCCTCCCAGTGACCTCCTATTTTTCTCAGGTGTGTTAGGGGATGCCATCAACTCCCTGCATGCGTGGAGAGGTGGAATCTGTTCCTCCACCCCAGTGGATCTGGACTAGCCTGCAACTACTTTGGCTAATGGAACCCAGTGGAAGTGGCGCTGTGCTTTAAGGGGACTAGCTGTTTCCGATTCTTGCCGATTAGAGCCCTTAGTCACCATGTAAGTCTAGATTGTTCTGCTGGAAAGAGGCCCCATGGAGAACTCCATGGTGCCAGACCTGTGAGTGAAGAGGGCACCCTGAGCATCCTCTCCTGTGGAGCTGTCACACACCTCCAGCCCCAGCCTCTATCTGGTTGCAGCCACATGGGAGAACCGGCAAGAACCGCCCAGCCGAGCCCAGTCAACCCACAGAACCATGGGAACAAATACTAAATTGTATGTTAAGCCACTTCATTGTGGGGTGGTTTGTTATGCAGCAGTGGCAAACTGGAATGTTAGAATAGGAGCCAAAGTTGACATCTGGTCCCCCATTCCACTCTAACCTCATCTCCCCCCTCTTTCCCAACCCCCCACCACCACCCATCACTCTGCTCCCACCACACTGGGCTCCTAGCTGCTCCTCAGACCTACCCAGGGAGCCCCCCATCCCGGATCCCGGACCCCAGCCCCCGGTCCCCGGCCCCACTTCAGGGCCTTTGCACTGGCAGTTCCCTCTGCCTGGAATGCTCTGCCCTAGGTCGTCTCATGGCTCACTCCCTCACCGCTTTCCGGTGTTTCTATGTCACCTTCTCAGTGAAGCTGTCCCCGAGCACCCCATATAAAGTTTGCACCAGCCCCTTTCATTATTTTCTACCTCTTCTCCACTTTAAGTTTTCAAGCACTTACTATTATCTGACTTTTTTTTTCTGGGTTTTGTATGTTTGTTAATTTGTTTCCCCAACTATAATGTCAGCTCCATGAGAGCAGGGAGTTTTGCCTGCCTTGTTCACTACTGTATCCCAGCCTCTAGAACAATTTCTGGTACACAGTAGGCACTCAATAAATAATAAAGGAAGGCCCACTTTGGGTCGGACTAGGGCTTGCTCAGCTGTTCAGCCAGCCATTTTGATAGAAGAAACCAGTAGATCCAGAGACAGAATTGATCACGTCACAAGAACTGGTGGTCACGTCGCATTCACTCTCTTTTCTCTGACTTTGGGTCTTCTGGCCTGATCAGTTGAGTGAGGGACAATGGCCATGCATTCATTTGCCAAATCTTAGGCTGAGTCCAAGATGGCGCTGAAGCAGAAAGGTGAGGTATCTACTGTCGGGAGCTCAAGCACTGAAGACAGACAATTCCCATCCCCAATTGGTCCATCTCTGACAACTTGATATGCATTTGTAGAACACCAACTGAGACTGGGGATACAGCAGTGAACAAAGCAAAAACCCCTGCCCTTAGCTGACATTCTGGTCCAGGAGAAAGATTATGCAAGTCTGACAAGAGCTGTAAGGCATGGCACAAAGTGATAAATGCTGCAGGAAATGCTGTGGGAATTCTGCGTATGGCAGCTCTGGGAGACTTCCTGGAAGAAGGGGCACTGAACCAGCCTGGAACGATAGTAGGATCTAGCCAGGCAAACCACTTCCCTGACAAATGCCATGGCTTGTCCCCTGGCCTCATCCAAGCCTTTAATGTTATGTCACCTCCTCACTGAGACCTCCCCTCACTACTCATTTACAAAAGAACTACCAGGCTTTTTCTGCTGTAACACACAATATGATCTACTTATGCATCATGTTTATAGTATGTATTCTTACCCATAGGGGACAGGAAGTGGCAGGGAGGAACAGCGCCTGCTCCCTTGCATTGCCCAATGAGAGTTCTTCCCAGTGGCAGGTAAGATGGCAGAGAGAAGAGGGGATGGTCACATGGCACTGCCCTCATGGTCGAGGATTTTCTGAGAAGAGACAGCATGATCTGAGCCTCAAGGAGACCTGTCCAAGGAAGAAACATTGCAAGCCAGGCCATGCTGGGCAAATATACCCCAAGAAGATCTGAGGGCTAACTCGAAGCAGCTACGAATCTCAGCTTCCTCTGACCAGCACATGACTTGGCCCTGTCCCCTTCTACCCCCCGACACTATACTGTCCCCTGGATTCCTTCATTCTAGTGGCCTCTGACAGGGAAGGCCCGGAGGCTTCTGTCATTCTCCTTTGCTCCTCTTCTATACCCTACAGGTTCTGCTTCAGCAAAACAATATTATCCATCATATTAACTTAATGTTGTTAATGTGAATTTTATCACCTCTGTGATTTTCTTTATTAATTTATTTATTTGTTTTGGTTTATAGTTACATAAGAATTAAAAGCATAAAGCATAAGAGTATAATTATGTCCTAGGGCTCTGTGACAATGTGCCTTTTGAGACAGTGGCATACATTTGTCAGGTTTGAGAAGCTCGGGGTTGCCACTATCAGATTTTCCTGCAGCTTTGACTTGCTAGTCTGGGAGTCAGAAGATTCATTCTCTCCCCAGGACCAGCTATGTACCCTTCCCTCTAGCACCTGCTTCCCCTGTCCCCCACCACCTGCAAGCCTGTTTCTTCATCTGTAAAATGGGAAGAATGAGGAGGAGGTGGAGGCTACATACCTTGGGACCCTCCCATCTCTAGCATCTTAGCATTTGTCTTAAGCCTCTTCAAAGCCTCTCCAGGGCACCACTGGGGGAGAGTGAAACATTCACTCATTAGAAAGAAAGCTCTCCTCCATGCCTAACCTTCATCACAGGCAAGACAAGCTCTCTCATGGAGCCATCAAGCCCATTGGACCACCGGAGCTGGATCAGCCGGCGGGGCTGGTGAGGAGCAAGCGGCTCATTAAGGCTGTCTTCATCAGGACCCAGCTGTCGACCAACAGCCTAACGAGACGGGCTTGAGCCAGTGATCTCCTGGGAGCTGTTACCAGTCCTCACAGATGCATTCTGTGGCTTGATGTGAAACCAGTGTGATAACTTTTTATTATTATTATTATTTTAAGGAAAACAACTTTAAATTCCCCCAAGGAGCACATTCCTTCATTGTGAAGCATTCCCTACTCATCTCCCCCATTCCCTCAAAAAAGAAAGGAAACAAAAAGGCTTGGCTGCTTCTTCTGTGCAGGCTCCTCAAAAAAACTATTTTTACAGCTCTCTGAAAAAGTCCCTGCTGATGGCGGCAGCCGGAGAACAGGAGGGGGCAGGACGGAGCTGACGCAATGCACATTTATTAGCAGTGAGGAAAATTAATAAGGCACCAGCTCAGGCATGGCCCTGCTCAAGGGCAGCACCACAGACCTGGGAAGCCCCAGGGACAGCTGGAGATCTGGTGGTCTCCAGGCTGAGGCCTCAGACACCTAATCAGTTGCAATTCTAGATCAGCACAGCTGGAGGGACGCTTGGAGATCATCTAGTGCCTGGAGGACAAATGCTTTTTATCACACACGTCAAATCTAATTGATTGGTAGGGGCTGCCTGAAGCCCTGTATTGAAAAGGATTCTGAGGCTGGATATGGGTCCCAAGGGAACGAGTACTGTAATTGATTAGCCATGTCTGCTGTGGCTGGAATAGTAAGGGTTGCAGTATTCGTGCTATGTGTTTGCTGCTCTTGGTCTAGTCCAACCTTTCCATTTTATCGATGGGGGAGACTGAGTCCCAAAGCCCATTGTTCAGAGGGGTTTTCCCAGCCTTTTTGGGGATCTAGCTGTTGTCGGTGAAGTGGTAGGTGGCCTGTCTCTTAAGGACCAAAGACGTCAGATCCAGACTGTCTCCGATAAGCCAAAACGGTTACTAGGTTTCGTTAATTCAGTCAATTATCTGTTTCTTGGAAATAATTGGTAAAAATCAGGCATCTCACAGAACTGATAAGTCAGTTCAACCAATGGAGATGATCTGGCAGGCCTAGGTGACCCCTAAGCCAGTGTCTACCTAACACTAGTGGTCAATTAGGTCAAAAAGAATCAATGAGTGAGACCAACCGACCAACTATATCAGGACAATAAAATCCCCAGGTGACCAGTGAAATTGTTCTAACTAGATAGTTTACTATCTATCTGATCTCTATCCAACAAGCTCAGCTCACCTGTCCTGACCGTGACTCCACCCCCTTTGCTCCTGTCTTCTTCTGGCTTATTTCCTTCTCCTTTCCCAAGCCTGTGATAGACCCTGCTTCCTTGGGCAGAAAATCCTCCTGGGGTGGGCTGGACACCTTAGACAGATTCTCCTCACCCCCACCCAACACCTACGTATCAACTGCCACCTTAGATTCTCTCCTTCCACCTGTGACAGCTCAAAGGCCATCCTGGCCACTCCTCATTTTAGAGCTAAGGAAACTGAGACCTGAGCAGGGAAACAACTCACGCGACATCTCTGGAAAGCAGTGGCAGCTCCAGGTCTCCTGACTCCAACTCTAGGGTCGTGCTGGTTGTCCCGAAGAAATCCATTCTGTCTGATTTGCCTAAGTTTCATGCACTACTCAGAGTAGCATGAATAATTTCTGAGGACCCCCAAAGTAGGCAGTCCCAGAGCGAACCTCTGGGGTAGGAAAGAACTTGGCATGTGAAGGGGGTCTGCTAGGAAGTACGAGAACGGACATGGGTCACTGACGAAACAAGGCAGGGTCCTCTCTGATCTCCAAGCACTTTCCACACTGCCGTCTGGGGAATCCACCTTCAACTCTTAGATCCCCCTCTTGAATTTAGCAGTTCTCTTTCCAGGGCTTTAGAATGGAACAGCCCTGGGTTGAGCCCTGGCTTATCACTTCCAAGATGGGAGCTTGGCCAAATTCCCTACTCTCTCTGGGCCTCAGTTTCCTCATTTTCAAAATCTATAGATTACTGATCCTTGTAAGGTTGTTAGGAGGACATTCCCTACTCTCTCTGGGCCTCAGTTTCCTCATTTAAAAAATCTATAGAAAGATTACTGATCCTCGTAAGGTCGTTAGGAGAATTAAAGGGGATCATGAATGTAAAGGTCTTAGCCCAGGGCTCAGCACATAGTAGCTACTAACGGTATCTTGAACACATCTCCTTTCAAAGCAATACTTCAGGACCCTACCACACCTCCTCCAGGAAGCCTTTCCTGAACACCCTCAGCCATTTTTGCAGCTCTGGAGAGCTTCCAGGCTGGCCTGCCTGTGTTCTGTACCAGGAGCCTTGTTTCTCCAAAGAGCCCATGAGTCACTGGGGGCCAGGTTGGTTTGCATCTCCCCTTGCTCCCAAGAGCCCCAGCTCCAGGCTGAGAATACAATGGATGCTCGATAAAGTGGCTACCCTGATCCTGGCACCCTCCCTTCACCCCCGCCCACCTAATCTCTCCAGTTCCCCTGATTTTCCAACCCCCTGTCTAGTTTCTTCCTAATGCTTCTGTCTCCACGTCTCCAGGGCTCTGTTTGCATGAGGGAAAAAAGCCTACACACACACACAGCCCAGAAAGCATCCAGTTGCTCCCGGGCAGGCTGCCAGCAATTGAGTGACCTGCAGCTTCCCCCCCAAATCACATTCCACTGGCACGGATCTTGCCCCGCCTGACGCCAGCCTCCGAACTCGCCCCCAGAGCAAACATTTCCAGTTGGCAGCTCAGCCTTGTTTTTCTGAGGCCCTGATTCAGGCTCCCTTGTAGAAAACAGAAAACAAAATGCATGGAACCAAAAATGAACTAAAATAAAATTCGAAAGGAGGGGGTGAGGCGGGGAGGCATTTGCTCCAAGGCACATGGAAAAATAGCTTCGGGATGTGCAAAGAGTTTCTAAGAAGCAAACACAAATGCTCATGCTAGCTTTGGGGCTCTGATCAATTCATTCAGGCTGCTGCCTTCTGCTAAAAGACCGACTCTGTTCTCATTCACAGCTGCCAGGGGAGGACAGGGGAGAGGGTGGTCCGTGTTACAGGACTGGTGTTTGTTCTAAAGGGGAAATGAGAGGAAGAAAAATAAACATGGCCAGCCAGATTTTCACTCCAGTGAGTGAGGTGTTAGGGCGAGGAGGGATGCGTGTGTACGTGTACTAGCGTGTGCACATGCCTGTGGGCGCCGCCGCGTTTGCCTTCTCAAAATAAGAGTCGCTCAGTGGAAAGATGTCATAACCTAGTCTCAGGCAGTGGGAAGGGGACTGGGAGGGGGCCAGCCAGGGAGGGCCGAGGCTGGCGCCCAGGCCTGCCCGTGGGGTCAAGCAAAGGCCAGGTTTCAGGACAGGGGAGCTCGGCCAGGGCCCATTAGTCATGGGTTGGGCGTGTGGGGACGGGGCTCAGAAGGTCAGCCCCAAACTGGGCGCTCGGTTTCAGGGGGAAAAGGTAGGCTGAGGAGCATTACTAGGAAGGGATGGGCTCGGGCCTGGAATATCGGTGTACTTCTGAGCAGGGGAGGCCGTGAAACGAGGAGGGAGGGACCAGGAGAGGCCCAAGGGACAGAATCAGCTAGGCGAGGTGGCAGGGCGGGAAAGAGGACAGTGAGGGTGGTTAGCAGACCCTCGAGTGAGGGCAGACCAGCCACAGATCTGGCTGAGCCACAGAGCTGATCAGCAGGGTTGTAATTAATCTCCTGCCCAGGGACAAGGGTTTCATGAGGGCACCAGCAAGGAAAGAGGGACCCCAGGACCCAGGGCAACTTGGAGCCTGGGCTGAAAGGCCCAGGCCCAGCAAAGCCCAAAGAGGGTAGTCAAGCATCGGGGGCCAGGAGAGAGTGGGCTGTCACAGGAGAAGCCGGGCATGTCAGAACAGCGTGGGAAGCTGTGAGAGCGAGGGTGAGGGCAGGCAGCTCAGAGCTCACACCGGGACCATGTGGCTATGTCCTTTCTCCACGGCACCAGCTTCTCCACACAGGGAAGGGCCTGGTGCCTTAAAGGGACCTGGCAGGCAGTAGGGGACCCAGGGCGAGGGGCCTGGTGAAGTTTGCAGAGGCTGGAAGTACTCAGCTGTGTCAGTCCAGCACTGCCGGAGCAGGAAGTCACACAGGCCAATAAGGGGAGCTCCAGGAGCCCTTGTCCAGTGTCCCCCAGAAAACGGTGGCAGGACAACATGTGTCTGAATCCTCCGGGCTGTGTAATAAAATGCACATTTCTGCCATTCTTTCCACTTGCCAGATCAGACTCCATCTGACTGGGCTATCGAGGACCTGAACTTTGAATGGCGGGCCAGGGGGTTCTCCTGCCCTCTGTGACGTGGCCAAGCGCTTTGCCCCTCCCAGCCCATCCTCTCTGGCTATACCCCTGTCAGTCCAGACCCCAAGAACTATAAGACTTACCACTTTTCATCTGTCACAATCTGTAAGGAAAGCAGTTAACAAGCCTTTCACAAGGGTATTTTTGCTTTGATTTAGGACACTTTTTAACCCAAAGAAATGAGTCTCTAATGGGGGAAATTCTGGCCTGAAGAAAGCCAGAGGGAGAGTTTGGGGAGTAAATGGGAAGCTTTCCAACTAGCTCTCAAATTCACTGTATCATTAGGAGGCCCCAAAGTTAGCTTTTAAAATGCTTCTTTCCCTTTATTTATCAGTTCTCAGAATGGTTAGTTTTGTCTAAGCATCCTCCGAATGTCTTTTTTATTATTATTATCATTTTGAACCTGTGCATTTTTTAAACATTTGATGTGTTTCAATTCATTGCAGGGTTTTGTTTGTTTGTTTAGTTTTGCTTTTGATGCACCAACGATCCCCTTCTATCCAGTAGGACCTCCTTCAAGTCGGCACCTGAGTCCTTTTGACATGACCCTGGTGGCGTTTGGTACTTTCTGGAACATGATGTCTAGGCTCATCTTATATATTTGTGCTCCAGACCTGAAAACAGCCAATTCTCCAAGAAGCCTGAGTTCCTTTGAATGAGAAAAAATATTTAGAGACCACAGTTTGGTCACTATATGTGCTCAGTCAAAGACAGCTTGTCTTTTAATTTCTCAATCTTCTCCAAGAAGGACTTAAGTTTGGACCCAGGAGCATCTGAAGGATACCACACCCTGCCCCATTAAATGTGTTTCTCCTGGACCCAGGCTGTTTCCTCCTTGGAGGTAAGTTCTCTATCCACCTGAGGCAACCTCCACCCTTCTTCTCTCCTCCTCAAAGATTAATCTCAGCTGGCCAGGGCTGGCCTGTCAGACTCCAGGTCCTCCTCACCATCTCTCTTGGGTGATATTATAATGTGAGAGCACAGACACGAAATCAGACCTCAAAGGAATTGCTTACTTCTCTATGCCATAGTTTCTTCTTCTGCAAAGTGAGGTCGAACGTATTTTAAATGAGGGAATTCAGACAAAGTTCTTAGCACAGTGCTTGGATAACAGTAAGCACTACAAAACTTTATGGATTTGTATTATTACCAAGGGAATTATGAAGTCTTGGTATGTGCAAACAGAGCTTCCAGCAGTCTTCTCTGACATTCTCCAGACAAGAGGGCCTGTAGACTCCACCTTGCTGTAAGGCAAAGACACAAAGGTGACTTGTGCTATGTGCTTTAGGCTATAGGCTTTTGAGGGAGGCAGTTCCCAGTTGAGAAAGGAGCAGTCAAAGGAAATAAGAAGTCCCTGGATTACGTTGCAAGGAACAAGCAAATGTGTGTGTGGAGGGTGGTGGGCATTGCAGGGCATATGTGGGGCAATAGGAATGGTGAGGTGTTTGTATGAGTACAAACCAGGACCACAGCATGGCGGGGCCTCATGGAATGTGAACCTGTGGGATCTGAGGCAGCTCTAGGGACCAGCTTTCCTCTCTGTGGACATCAGCAAGGCTGGTCACAAATATTCCTATTTCTTCTCTTTCCATACACACAGTGGCATCTTATGACTTCTCTACCTTTAAAATTAGGCCCAGCCATGAGACTTGCTTTAGCCAATGAATTTCCAACAGAAGGGACATGTGTCACCTCTGGACAGAAGTCTTAATAGCTGGTGAGCACTTTGAATTTCCTTCTTCTGCCTCTACAATTGTGGAAGCATGTGTCTAGGTGGAGCCTCCATCGGCCTGAGTTCTCATGCTACCGGGGTGCACAGTACCTTCCTTGCTGACCTATAATGGACAGGTCATGTGTGGTCAGGAATAAACTCTTTTCGGGTTAAGCCACTGATACATGGGGGTTGTTTGTTTCCACAGCAGAATATAGCACATCCTGACTAATTGCTCTCCATCTCCTTCTCAGTGGTACACCCCCTCTCTCAAGGAGGACTGTTCTCTCTGTGAATCAACTCCATCTCCTCTCACTAACAACAAGCTTATCCTTCCCCTGGACTCTAGGACAGTTCTTTCCCTGTAGCCTCACCTGCTCCTCCTTTCTGCTCCTGTGTAACTTTTGCTGGCTTAACATTCTCCCATAGCCCTGTCTCTGCTTTGTGGCTCTGTCTATAAATACTTCCTTCAAGATGTGTTAGTTCAGAGAGACAAAGAAAGGCTCTGCTTGCCCCAGCTCATCTCTTCATGCCAGGCCACACATGGGCTGTTGCCCAGCCTGGCTCTCTGGGATAATCGCTAATCCCCAGCACAAACAACAGAGAAAGGGGACAAGTAGTAGTGGGGAGTACCACATAATACGAAACATGGCACCTGTCTGAGGATTGGGGTGGGACATAGCCACCTGGAAGGGACTACGAGTGGACAGGCACTCACTAGCTAGGGACCGGGAGAGGGGAAGGGCAGAATGTTTGCTTTTAAGCATTAAATCATGTTAACCTTCCATCTACAAGATACTCAACATCTGGCTGAAACAAGAACACTTTAATGGGAACATCTGGATGCTCACTCTGCACAGTGTGAAGCAGCTGGATCCGTGGCAGCATCTGTGTGAGTAAGCAGAGTAGGGTCTCCTCTGTGTGTTTAACACCACAGTTTTGCTTTCCTGTGCCTGTAACAGAAAACCAGACTCAGACTGGTTTACATTTTTAAAAGGGAAATTTTTAGCTCACTCGGTTAAAAAGTCCAGAGATGAGGCTGGCTTCAGGTAGGCGTTAATCTAGCAGCTGAACAATATCACAAAAGACCCAATTTCATTGTATCCTGCTAGCAACTTCGTCCCAAACTGGCTCCTCTCAGAGGTCCCAAATGGGCTGCCAGGAGTTCTCATGGTTACACTTACCTTGTTCAATTATAAGACTGGGATCATACCTATCCCAGCATCCCTAGCAAAGGGCTTGACATCTCCTCTGATTAGATAGGACTGGGTCACATGCCACACCGATCCCATCACTGTGACCTAAGGGTACGGGAATGTGCTTAGTGGCTTAGTCACACGCTCCACCCTTGGAACCAGAGATGGAGCCAGCTTCTTCAGAACCCCAAGGATCCCCATGTCAAACTAGAGCACTCTGGGAAATGGCAAGGGGACAGAGGTTTATGTGCTGCTAGACACAGGGTCGGGACTAGGGTGAGGCAAAGGGGGAAACTAATGCACAAAATTCAAGGAGGTGCTCATTCTTGGGGTGGGGCCTCAAATTTTGTACCCCGGGTTCCTCTCTTGCTTCACTCTAGTCCCAGCCCTGGGTGCATAACAAACAATAAACATTTATTATCTCATGGTTTCTGTGAGTCAGGAATTTGAAAATGGCTTAGCCATTGGGGTTCTAGCTTGGGGTCTGTCATGCGGTGGCAGTCAAGATGTTGGCTGGGATTGCAGGTGTCTGAAGACCTGACTGGGACTGAACGATCCACTTCCAAAATGGAGAACATAGTGCTTGGAGGTCCAGCTACCATCTTACAAACAGAAGGAAAAGCTATGAGAATTTCTGGGAAATGAGACCAGAGCCTAGACATCATGGAACTGTCAAATATCGACCCTGGAACTGCCCTCCTCTGGACTTCTCGTTTTGAGAGATAATAAATGCTCTTGTTAAACATTGTGGTTGGGTTTTCTGTTACTTGTGGCCCAAAGTGACCTAAACGATGTGTGAGCTGGTCCCATGTTTTATGTACCTTTGCAAACCTTGAAGAAAAATGGACAAGTTCCTTCCTTATATCTGAAAGAATACGATTCAGTATGAGCCGTCATATCCTTCTTTACACCACCAGAGACACTCTGAAGCCTCTTCTTAGCTACGTAGGAAAGTAAATCCCTGCACTTTGTCTTCTTTCCTTTTATTAGCTGCAGACCTTTCTCCAGAGACCCTCACCAACAGCCACTTTGGATCTGTGCCCAGTAGCATGTTAATCTCTAGGGAAGGAAAAGAGCTCCTGGACCCCAAGAAACTTGCCTCTGACAACCCCTAGACCCGGTTGCCCTGGGTGGGACCGGGTGTGCTGGGACGTCAGGTCTGACTGTAGGTGCAAGCCGCTCCGAAGAGTCTTTCCCTCCTTTCCTTCCTGCTTCCTCTATCCTTTCCAGAGCTTCTCTCTCTCTCTTTACTCTCCTCTGCCCAATGTCCACGGTCCACTTTTTTTCTTTCTCATTGAGCTTTTCACCATGGACACATGGATGCTCGGAACAAAGACTACATTTCCCAGCCTCCCTTGTAGCTCAAGGTAGTTCTTGAAATTTCATTCTAGCTGGTAAGATGGCAGGGAAGTGAGGGGTGTGCCTTTCCCCCACCTTGTTCTCCATGATGCAGCCTGGGGTTGTTGGGCACAGTGGGACAAGAGGGAGCCTGGGTCCCCATGCTGGCCTTGGACCACCCACCTAAAGAGAAATTGCCATCTTGTTCAAGCCACTGCAAGAGAAATTGCCATCTCGTTCAAGCCACCGTTATTGTGGGGTCTCTGTTACCTGTAGCCCAGCACTTCCTCTCGCCTCTTCTCCCTTTCTTCTCCCTCTCCACTCCCATGCTTCTCTCTTCCTTCTCCCTTTCCCTCCTGATCTGTAGATCCCCTCACCTTCCCCTTCTCTCTTCTCCCCAACCCACTGGACTCTTCCAAAGTAGCTGGTAGCAGGGTCAGACGGCAGAAGGGATCCCGCTCCCCAGTCCCTGGAAATGCATAACTTGTCCCTGGAAATTTGTAACTGCTCTGACAGCCCTGACCGGTGGGAGTTTATTCCCACCCAGAGGAGTCTCTGGCCATGTCTGGCTCTGTGCTCTGAGGATGGCCTGCTCCGGGGGAGAAACAGAGAGCCAGCCAGGGTGCCAACCTCAGGCAGCCTATCCTGTGGCCTGATGCCCAGTGCCCAGTTTCTGTCTCATGATTCCATGATGACCCTGTGATGCCTGGAACTGTTGCTCACCTGGGATGGAAACCATCTGGCTGTGCCCTCTGGCTTCCCCAGAAGGGAGTGATCTTAGATGTCAGGGAGGCGCGGGCCAGCCTGGGCTGGGTCGGGGCTGACCATCTCTAACTCTTTTCTTCTTCAACCTTAGGTCCAAACTCTGCACAGGTGGGTGACAGTAGCAGAGGAAGGGGGACAATAAGGGTACTGCTTCACTAGGGGGACTTCAAAACCACTGTGCATGCCCCTGTCACTTCCCCCTCCCACCCTGCCCTCTGAGCCCCAGTGCCAGCCTTCTGTCCCTACTCAGAACTCACAGGCAACAGATGGTGCCTTGGAGACAAGACCTGGGCCTGGGCCCAGGGTGCGGATGTCAGCTGTGGCAGGGCGCTCCCCTTTCATCCTCCCGCATGCTGCTAGGGCAGTCCCAGCTCTTCACTGGCTGAGTGGGGCTTAGCAGAGCTGGGAGGGCTGAGCTGCAAGAGGCCACATACAGAACCCTAGCTGCTCTTTGGGAGTGGGGGCCTGGCCTGTGAGGAGAGAGATGGCCTTGGCCAGGGGTGGGGTAGGAGAGCCCAGAGCAGCACAGCTGGCCTTCGCCCACAACCAGTGATGTGAGTGCAAGGCCTCTACTGGGCTCAAGTCACAGGGGATGGGTAAAGGGCATTCGTTTGACTCCAGGCTGCTCTCACTGATGGTCTTGACACCCAGACCTGTGCCACCCCTCAGTTCTAGATTTCTACCCACCAAGCCGAGCTTCTTGATCTCAGCCAGCCCTTGACAAGAAGCAAGGTTGGGAATGACTTCACCTGGCCACTCCCAGATCAGTTACAGTCAGTGCAATGTCATGATGAGGTGATGTCACATCAAAATTCTCGAAACACTTTCCATCTGGAGTCAACACCATCCTTGCAGCTGCTCCAAGGGCTGTGCTCCACTGCCAGCCATGAGATGGGATCAAGTGTCCTTCTGGAAGCCAAGCATAGGACAGGCTTAGGAAGAACCAAGTAAGGAAGGGGAGCTGCTGAGGGAACGGAGAAGCACTTATGGGGCTGAAGTGCAGAAGCTCTGGGGCCAGAAGGTAGCCGGGAGAGGCCCATAGAGTTCAGAGTCTCGAAGGGGAAGCCAGAGACAGAGCGAAGATAGAAGAACTCAAATAAGAGTCTCTCTCATATACACACAGACACAGACATACACGTACTTTCCTACCCATACCATACTTTAAGTGCTATGTACTCCCAAGCTTTGAGCTTTGCTCATGCTTTCCCCTTGCCAAGAAAACCCTCCATCTGCCTGGTGAATTTTTCATCCTTCAGAAGGCAGCTCAAATGTCTCCTCCTCAGTGATGGGTCCCCCCACCCCCTACTGACCCCATCCTCTGCCCCTCCTCCAGTAACAGATCAGAGAGCCCTGGTCTGAGCTCAGACGGCTCTTTATCCACACTGAGCTCACACTGCTGTGTTAGCAGAAGGGTTCACAGCCTAACCGCCCATGTCCGCATTGACAATCCCCACTGACAAGGGGCGCCTCAAGGGCAGGCTGAGGTGGTCCGGCAGAGCTCAGGAGTGACTCGGTCTTTTATAGACAGGTGGTCACCAGGGCCTGCACTTAGGAGATTTACAGGCCTTGCGGGGTTTACAGCCAGGCATGAAGACCCACTGGAGGAGCCCACTTTGATTATTTGTTTGCCCCTTGCAGAGCACACATTTGGGGCTCAAACAAATAATTACTTTGAATGCATTTTAATAGGCCTTTGTCATAGACCCACACACAACCCAGAGGTCTCCCTCTATTCAAAGTCTCAGGGTGGGGAAAAGATGCAAAAAATAAATCTGATTTTGTTGGAACAAACAAAACCAAAGCTGGCCTTGTGTTTCCCACAGCACAGAAGTCACCTGAGAAAGGGAGGCCTGGGAACCAAGCTCCAGGAAGCGCGGTGGAAGGCCTGCTCTGCCACTCACCAGCCACATCAGTTTCTTCCTTGGTCCAATAAGACTATCTCTGGTAATAATATTCCCAGTGTTGTTGCAAGAAACAAATGAGGTGACTTGTGTGACAAAGTACTTGGCCAAAATATATTAAAAAACCATTCCCAGATTCTCATTCAGCCCCATCTCTCACTTCTTTGTGTCAGTTACACAGGCCCTGAGGAACTCTGGGAACTCTGAGGAAATCATCAGCTGTTAGGGTGAGAGTCCATTCATGTTCTGGAAATGACAATATAAGGAAGAAATTTAGGCCCATATTAGGTATCCATTAAATGCTTATTGATCACAATTTCTAACTCCAAGAGTCTAAAATTTTTAATGTATTTAACCAGAACGGTTTGATTAACCGGAGCACCAGCCCTTGAGCATTCTGGGTGACCAGAAATTTTTCTCTCTGGGAGAACCGAGGGGTCAATTCACAACAAGCATGACCTGGCCCTGTGCTGCCCGGGGCTGCACCATGGGGACAGGAAGCCAAGGGCAGACATCACACTTCTTCCGGGAGAGTCAATTTTATGCCGAAGTCTTTTTGGAGGCTAAAAACTACTGATAAAGTTTTCCCTAATTCTAAGATGTACATTTTTTCATATGTTAATATTTCTAAAAATCTGAATGCATTGACGTGTTTGTTTAATGTGGCTAGTTCCTTGCTCCTCAAAAAAAAATGCTTTGCATATCCTTAAATCCATGGTGCTTCTTGCAACTGACAGCATCTTAGAACAGAAAGAAAAAACCAGCCATTTAACTCACTTTAAATGGAATTATAAGTCATTTCGAACATTGTTTTTATGCTAGAACTTACCAGGACACACTAAAAAACAGAAGGCAAAATGCGTGTGAACCTTTAAGAAAAAGCATGAGTACAAAACAATGCTTTGCTTGTGGCAGGGCTACTGTACACCGAGTGCCCAGGCCCGGGTGCCCTTCCCTCTTCTTCGCCCTCAGCCGTGCTGAGGACAGCTGCTAAGCTACCATCCAGGATTAGTCTGCGCAGAGGAAGATGCTTGGACATAAAGTTAAAGACTGGCAAAGCAGGGGTGTCGCATGCAACACAGGCATTCTGTGGCCGTGGGGCGGCACACCTGTGTCCGCAGTGTCATGTGGCGGGCATGACTGAAGGCTGCTGGGCTGCAAGGGGCAAATAGAGTTGTGTCAGTGTCTGTAGGGCCCCCACTTTCCCTTCCAACCCCATTCCCTTCTTAGCCAGTCTTGGGAGAAGACAGAGCTTCAAGGATCACACAGGTTATCAGCTAAGAATGAGTCTAAGTTGTCAGTCATTCATTCAGCCAGGCCCATTTCAAACCTTTGATGGGAGAGAGTGGCCTCGGTGAAGACCTGGAATCCCACTAGGATAACCACGGCTGGGATAAACCTGAGAGGCTGGGTCCTTGGCTTAGAGGAGGGAACATCTGGGCTGGGCCAAGCTCTCCTGTTCTCCTTAGAGATGAAGGACCGTGGCGGCTGTGGGCCTGGTCCAGAGGTGATAGACAAGGCTGGGTCTCTTCCCCAATAATTTGCTGGGTCCTGGAGCTCACCGACCACAACAACCTTCTAACCACCCTCTTCTACCCTCTCACACCATCTTCCTGAGCCCAGGTTGAAACTCCCCAACCCACACCCCAACACAGGATTTAGAGATGCAAACTTTATGATTTCTAGAACATTTAACATTCTCTTGGCATCCAATATTGT